GCGGCAGAAGACCCGCAAGTTTCGCACCACAGGCCACGCGTATCCGAGGTCATCACTCACTTTTCTGGCTTTGGATAGCAACTCGAAGACAGGCTTGGGGTAGATTGGACGCAGTAGTACTCGTAAACCACCTCCACAGCCAAAGATCGTCTGGGCAGTATGCCCCTTCAGTCTGGACGAAAACTTGATTATTCTGTCCCGAGAGGATGGCGAATCCAGCAGGAAGATGAAGGACTTGTTTCGTGCACCTTGGCTCGAGTGAGAGAAGGACTGCGACTGATCTGTGGGCGCAGTAGAGCGAGAGGCAGCGGTGGGATTCCACTCCCTTGTCGCAATAATCGCAGGGAGGTTGTGATCTCCACCAAAGCCCAGCGCAATGAGGACAGAGGTAGCGGCCTGGAAGAGGGAACCTTGAAATTCCGCTGGTAACCCATGGACCAAGATTTCAGGCTCGTCGACTATTGCGAAATGGACGTCACGCTCGCGAAATTCATCCTGCGTTTTAGTTCAGAGTCCGCAAAGTTTCTCAAAGCGCTCAGAATTGAGTTGGGCTTCCCTCGCATGCCGCTCCGCGTTAAGCTGCGACTCCCTGCGGAACCACTCAGGTGCCTCAGACATTGCCGAATAATCGATGTTCCGACCTGTAGTCGGAGGTAGCTCAGATCTTCAGGCTTTGGTGATCGGCAGCGGTGATGGCTGAGTTGGTGAGGCTAGACGTTTCCTGGCGTGTGCAATAATAGAGGGGGAGTGTCCTGTAGGCGTAGCGAAGATATCCAAGACGGTATTGGCTAAAATAGTATCAACGTTCTGCGAGCGGTTGAGGCAGCAGTTAAATTCTGCAGAGTTGTGATTGGCTGGTCTTGAGTTGGGTGAAATGCAAAGGTTATGGTACCGGGAATTACAGGAGTTGCAGAGGAGGAGTTGATCAGGTCGTCGCACGATCAATCCGCACTTGGCACACACGCGGCTTGACATAAATAGGCGAGATAGGTTTAGAAAGAAATGAAGTGCCTATAATAATTTGAATGTTCGCGCGCAATTTCAAGTGGCGCGGATGCGCACGCAACCAACCAGCTATGATAAACTCGGTAGAGTGACGAGTAGAGCTCGACGGTGTGATGCCAGATGATTAGATAAACTGAATTTGTTGAATAGCCGTTGAAAGGATGCTGTGATGCTTACCAGAGAGAGAGAGAGAAAGAGAGAGAGATTGATTGATTGATTAATCTTTATTAAACCATGGGGTAGGACCCCGTGTGGTTGGAAGAAATACACAGTTGACAATATATAATAGTGATAGTGACAATAGCAGTATTGTAAGCGTACAAACGGCATGTTTTTGTTTAGCAAGCGGATTGTTGCAAGACAGCCGTCGAATCTAGTTGATACATAGAAGTGCAAGGCAGCGCAAATGTACATGTAGAGACTAAAGCTAATAATATAATCTAAGAATACAAATAAGAGAACCTCAGAGAGGTGCGCACGAGCTTAATATATAAACTTAATTTAACGCAGTGGGAGGGGGGCATATTTACAGTTTAAATTGGAGGGAGAGATTTGGTTCATCATTCAGGAATCGATAACGCAAATATCTGCCGCCCACCAGTAGATATGAAGGATTAGGAGCGAACGCAGAGACGTTGTACGGGCGTGAAATATGGGGTAGGTAAGCGAGGGAGGCTGTACCTGTCATTTGCTCCTGTGCAACCCGGATAGCGAATCTGTCAATTTCAAGGAGGAAAAGAAGATCAAATAACCAGTATTTGAATTCAGTGAGTCGTTCCAAGGAAAAAGTGGTCACTGCAAGTTGGTTTAGGAGATCCATACCTCTAATTGCGAATGATCTCTTCCAGGACTCAGTGCGTGGAGCACGAAAGTGGAAGGCCGCGGGTATATTGCGAATAGAGCGGCGGGCGATAGTAAGTTGGTTCAGTAGTGATATGTGGCCAGTCAGATACGACGGTCCATTGTTAAAAACGACCTTATAAAATAGTTTTGCGAGGGCTAGTTGACGTGTTGATGAGAATGTGAGCCAACGTAGTTTCAGGCGGTGGAACGTAACATAAGAGGTGAGGTCATTATTTGGTAGGAATGGGATGTTACCAGAGACGAATTGGACACAGGCATTTTGCCCCACGTGGAGGTCACGAGTACGTGTCCTGTCAAGATCCATGAAGACGGTGGACGAGAAGTTTAGCAGTGGGAGTACCAGTGACTCAACCAAAGTCTTGCGGAGAGCGAGCGACAAAGAACGGCGATAGAACTTAAGAGAGCTGAGAGAGCCGTAAACCTTCCTCACTACGTCTGAAGTATGTGACTTCCATTGGAGCGTAGGAGAGAGGGTGACCCCAAGGCTCCTTGCCGCCATCACGAAGGGGATCTTATGTCCGTTGACGGTGATGCAAGGCAAAGTGGTGAGGTGAAGGGCAGTCACATCCAATTCGCTGCCCAAGATCATAGCCTTCGTTTTGGCAAGGTTGAGATCAAGGCCATTGCCCAAGGCCCAATCAGCCACCGCCTGTGCATCTCGCTGGGCCTCCACGATGCCACGCTCAATGTCCCGCGGGGAACAATGCACATATATTTGCGTGTCATCCGCATAGATGATATACTTGGCAGATAACAAGACCATCGGAAGGTCGTTGATGTAGATGGCAAAGAGTAGAGGGCCAAGGACACTCCCCTGCAGGACACCGGTGGCAGCGCGGAGCCACTCAGAGACAACGCCTCCCTCATCTACCACCGCCTGTACGCGATCCGCCAAATAGTTGAAAAACCATTTGAGGGCTTTGTCGGAGAGGTTTATATTGCGCAGTTTGGTGATCAGTCGCAAGTGGCAGATGCGATCAAAGGCTTTTGAGAAGTCAAAAAGCACCAGGATGGTGAGAAGCCTATTTTCGGTAGCAAACCGAACATCGTCGAGAAGACCAAGGAGCGCGGTCTCGGTAGAATGTCCCCTTCTAAATCCGGCTTGGCGGGAGTCGAGCAGGTGATGCTGCTGAAGGTAGGCTGACAATTGACGATGGACGAGGCGCTCGAAGAGCTTCGAGGGCTCACATAGCTTAGCTCACATAACTTAACATCTTAGATAGCTTAGATATCATCTAGCTTAGACATAGGTCGTGTGTCCGAAAGGGAGGTAGGAGACTTCATTTTGGAGAGCGGGACAATTTTCGTGCGCTTCCAGAGCGTGGGGAAAAGTGAGTTGGCAATTGAGTGATTAAAAAGCATGGTGTAGTGCGGAAGGACAGTTTGCGAAACCATCGAGAGCATTCTCAGCGAGATCCCGTCCTCTCCTTTTGACTTTGAGTGGGCATCCGCGAGAACATCCTCCACATCCTTGACTGACACCGGGGTTTAGATTGAATTGAGGAAATGAGAATGAGCGAGAGAGTGGTATCGATGTGAGATTGTCGTAGCAGGAAAGAGTAATAGGCGGAAGCTGGTTAACGATTTTGGCGAAGTGACAGTTTAACGCTGTGGGTGAGAAAAATGATAGTGGAGACGGCATGGATTTTTGTGCAATGCCGAGACAGCGAAGCTATCTCCATTTGGTCTTGGGATCTGTGGCAGATGCAAGTTTGGCCGAGATGTGGTTATTTTTTGCAGTGTCAAGCTGGTTTGAAACGCGGTTTCGAAGGTCTTTGTACCTCCGAATGTCACCTGGAAGCGCAGTTATTTTTGCTCGCTTGTACGCCGCCGTGCGAGCACGCATGAGGATGCGAATGTCAGCTGATACCCACGGCTTAGCCTTGGCAGACAGTTTTGTCTAGCGAACCGGGGCAAGGGTGTCGAAGGCTTTCAGCACGGCGTTTGAGAGGAAGCGTTCGAGTGAATCCAGGGACATTTGAGTTGGGTCAGTAAGAGTAGTCTGCGGTGATGGGTACTGTACGGCAACGCCCTCGGCAACCAGTAAATTTAGCTGTACTGTATCAACACTTTTAAGTTTGCGAATGAGGATGGTTTTCGTGGCTGAGGGGGGAACCGTGGCGTAGATAGACAGCTCGATAAGGTCGTGACAGTCAATAAATGGGGCCGGCGTTTTTGAAAAGGAGTGGATATCTGTGTCATTTTTAATTAAGAAGAGGTCGAGAAGAGTGTGAAAAGCATGACCATCCTGGAATCGATGACAAGTAGGCAGCATGGAGAGGACTTTTAAGGCGTAGCGCTCGATTTGTTCTCGGAGCACGTTGACGTAGTGTAGTGTGTGCGATAAGAGATTGCAGTTGAAATCCCCACAAATTATCACGTCATGATAATTTGGGAGAAGAGGGACAATGGTTTGGAAAAAATTCAGTGGAGCCAACGCAGACGGGCTACGATAGACTACAGCAAGTAGAAGTCTTGCATGTTGTTGTCGTAATTCCACCACCAAAAATTCTGACGCATTATAGTCATCAGGATGCGATTTGGCAATTGTGCGAACGGAGAAGCTGTCACGAATGTAGAGAGCAACACCACCACCTTCCATGGCTGAGCGATCATGTCGAAATAGGTTGAATCCAGAGAGAGAGAGGTGAGAGTAAGCCACAGTATCCTTTAGGAACGTTTCTGTGATGGCAACAGCGTCATAGTGTGAGTGGGATACTCTGTCCTCAAGAAGGGCGAAATGGCCGCCGTGGTTCAGGCGGTTCACATTTGCATGTGCTACACAGAAAATGGGAGGGGGGGGGGGCAATAGTTTGGGGCTATATTGACCCTGAGGGTCAATCGATGGTAGGTGGATTTCCCATAGTGCATTCAGTGGGAAGGGATGTATCATCTGCGATGTGGGAAGGTTGACGGTAGTTCGTCCCACTTGAGAGTGAAGGCTCCGCCGTATCCATTGCCAGTGAAGACATTCGAGGGGCAGCATCGGGACTGATGCTCGGATGATTTTGAAGTGGGGGTTGGCCAGTGTGAGAATTGGAGGATGCTGTAACAGCGGATGAGGGATGAGCAGGCAGAACGGGGAGCAGATGCGGACCAGAGTTTTGCGCCGATTTCCGGCCACGATTTTTCTACAAGCATTTTTGTTGGTGCGTGGCTTGCAGGTGCGGTAGCTGGGGCTGTTCGAGTGGCTGATGCTGGGGTTGGGCATAGAACGTTTGGGGCTGGTGATATTGTTGCTGCAGGGACGGGGGTTGTTGATGAAGCTGTTGAGACAATTGGGGTGGCGGATGCTGTAGTAGCTGCTGACTATGCTGAGGTTCCTGTTGTTGCTGCCGTTGAGGTGGTTGCTGCTGCTGTTGCTGTGGTGGTTGTTGCGCTTGTTGGTATTGTAGTAGTAAGGGTAACTGATGCGGGTATTGATGCTGATTACTTTGTGGGTGCTGCAGTCGCTGGGACTTTCGTGGAATGAATGGTCGAGAGCCACGAGTAGGGGTAATAGCGTTGAGTGAGAGGTTTGCTGAGCGATTTTGATTTTGATTGGGGGGGAGAAGGTATAGATCCTCCTCGCAGAGAATCGGCAAAAGCTCAGAATTAAATGTCGGTCGCACGAAGATACGCAGATTGCGGACTACAGGACGGAGATAGCCAAGAGATGTGCAGGCAGCTCTAGCTTTTGTGAGGAGATCGTAGATGACTTTGGGGTAAACTGGGCGCACGTAGACAGGGGTGCTTCCACCGCACCCAAAAATGGATAGGACGGTGAGCTCACGAATACGAGCTGTTGCAGCGATAACGCGATCGCGAGAGGAGGTTGATGAGAGGTAGAATGAGAAAGTGATAAAAGGGGGGCGTGGGTGAGAGGACTCTGCGGGGGCGTCAACATTTTGTTGCGCATTTTGGTAGCGATTTGGCTGGTACCATTCTCGGGTGGCCTCGATAGCAGGCATGTCATGGCCGTGGCCAAAACCAAGGGCGCTTAATATGTAGCGAGCGGCATCATACAGCGAGCCATTAAACTGCGAGGGGAGCCCGCGAACCATAACCTCTGGGGTATCAATGTGTGCAGCAAGTTTATTGTTGATATCATTTTGTTTGACGGAATGCTAGAGAGTGGAGCTGATAGAGTTGATATCATTTCTGAGATCTTTGAATTCCTCGCGAGGAAGCCAACAAACCAAGTAGGTGGTTTATCAGACATGATTGGCTCAGATGTAGGCTTTACCTGTATAGTCTGGTGAGAGGCAGTAGAGGAATTCTCCAACGATGCAGGCGAGGATCTGTCTACAGTTGTTGAATTGCGGCGTAACAATGGAGGACCCAGGCAATGGAGTTTCGGTGCGTGGAAGCTAGACAGAGTGGGCGAAACGAGCCGCTTCTTGGAGAGATAAGGTAAGAGGGACGCGCCAGCGGCCGGTGGACCTACTGGTGAAGACTGGGGAAGAGCCTCGACGACAGACGCCAACGACGAGTCGCTGCTACTTGTATGTTGATGACTCCTGCAGATGAATGGTTCAGATCCCCTGGGACGCAGTGACGGCGACACACAGTCGATATGAAGGAGCGCGTTACATTCAGTGCATAAAAGAGTATTGTCGATACGGCGCAGGGAAAACAAGCATTTAGCGCATTGACTGGACATAGAACCAGGCCGGTGTAGACAGACAGGGGAAAGCTACTTGAGCGAGAGATGCTGGCAGAGGCAACAGTTGATTTTCCGAACGTAGAGAGTTTGACGAATTTCGAATTTCGCGGGTGATTGCGTGCCAAGCAGACTCTAGCCAGCAACTTTTCCCAGCTAAGCAGGTATACAAACGTACAGGCAAAATGTCAACATAAACACAGTATTTGGAAACTCAGCAATACTTATAAGAACGTGTTATATGAAATGCACGATAACGCAAGGGAATACAATAACGCAAATTTATGCAACGCATATGAGGATGCAGATAGGCATGCACGAGATTTGTGTTTTTTCTCTCTCTCACCAACATGTAGGTAGAATGCAGTCGAGGACAGCTACGGCAGGTTGGAGCAAAGTCGAGTGTGTTCAATAAGTACAGCAGCAACGATATGCAGCTAATGCAGTGGACGCAGATGAGAGCGTAGTGTGTAGTAGCAGAGATGAAACCGTAGTGTGTAGAAGCGTAGGTGTGCAGAAGCGTGTGTGTGTAAGGCGTTGTTGCTTAAGTTTGTAGGTTATGTTGTGTAGCCGGGTATTTAACCGCCTCCGCGGCTCGAAAAAGGCAATAAAAATTGCGATTTATTGCCCAGGCATGAGAGCCACAGTTGGCGAATACCCTGCAAAGTGAGTTTTCACTCCAAGAAGGAAAACAAAATGAATAAGGCAGAGTATTAACGGAGCGGAAGAAGGAGGTGTTGTACGTACCACGGAGAGAGAGAGAGAGAGAGAGAGAGAGAGTGAAAGAGAGAGAGAGAGAGAGAGAGAGAGAGAGAGAGAGAGAGCTTGAATTGTGGACGATCGTGGGAAATTCGGGAGTCTCTGCTAGACTGTAAGCAGAGAAAGTCGCGCGCGTGGATTGAACCGAAGGTCACAGTTTTCTCAAGATGGCCCCGCGACCTTGTCGACGTTTGTTCGTTTTCAGAGACACGCCCAGTGCGCGGATGAGTATTTGAGTGTGAGGTTGGGTCGCGCCCAGCCGTGTCATGAAGGATACCTGTTACCGGTGCGTGTTTTTCTTTTGTTTCTCTCTCTTGCATGTTTGGGCGCCAGCTTATGGGTGGTAGCACGGCAGATCTGCTGGCTATCCCATTGATAGATTAACGGCGGAAAGTGTTTTGTCGGGCATTTGTTGTAACATTTAGTTTTAGACAGGGAATCGACAGGCTGACCAGCCACCGATTCACCTTCGCGTTCGGATTTGTTATTGTGCCGCTCGTAGTGTATAGGCGTAAGATCGCCGTATTGTAATCGATTGTTGACGATTAAAGGATTAGTGTGTTAATCCGCTGTTGTGTTTATTTGCCACTGTATCACTCCTCGCCCCGACTTCGAATCTGTCCGTTTAACGTGTTTATGCTCGACGCGTTATTCAGTCGTGGGAACGTCTTTTGCTTCCCGAATCCCCGAATAAATAATTTGTGCAGACGGCCGCGAGCTACCCAGACGGGAACGGTCGCTAATTCTCCGTTACAAATCATATCTGTGAGCTATGCTTGGACCCACGAATACATTATAATAATTGTCAAATATCTCCACATACACCCTATGGAACCCGTTACAGTAAATGCGCAATTCATAAAAAAATAAAGCTCAAAGACCCCAAGTGTCTTCAACAGGTCTATACTTGCCAAGATAGTTAGAACTGCGAATTAACCAGTCACACTTTCTCAGAGCGCGCAAAGTAGCCCAATCCTGAAATTAACAAAAGAGAAAAGAAAATGACTATAGGTAAAATTAGTTATAAACTAGGTAAAATTAAATAAACACCTACACATATTCGGGAATATCTCTGAGTTCCAGGTCAGGGTGCAGCAAGTAGAGGCAAATTGTTCCTCCGTTAACTCTCAGACTTAAAACATAACAATCACTAATAATTATAGGAAATTAAATGAGTATTAAAAAAAAAGAAAAAAGGGAAATATGTACGTATATACTTACACAAACCAGCGAATATTGTTTTCTGAGAAAATCGTACATTTCGAAATAAACACCGACGAACACTAAAAGTTGAACTAGACAAAATCAATCGGACACACTCTTTACATACCGAAAATACACTGATTAAGCAAAAAGGAAAAAGAGAGAACCAAAAAGAACTCAAAGTGCGCTGAATCATGTAATTTTAAGAGTTCGAATATCGAAAATGTGTTGAATATCAAAATTTAATAGCGATCTCATTATCTCAAAATTTCACTAAATGTTCATTAATTCCAACATCTTAGGCCCTGTAGTGTCACGGCTCACAACATAATTTTTCTTATACAGGTCTTATCAAAATCTTGATATCTTGTCAAGTTTTACTTAACCTCGGCAACTCTTAGATAAATCATTAGATCTTGCGGTGGTTTGAGATTGCCAAAACTTTAAAAATACGTAACGTTTTTGCTGATATTCTTGTGTGTACCCAATGTGTGCTAAGTCCTGCTGCATTATCAAGATTAATTATAGCTGAGTGGCGATAATGCGGGCCAGATTTGGACAGCTCATTTCTCATGAATACACCTCTGAAATTAAAAATATCTAACTGTTTAGCGTACTCTTTCAAGTTAACATTGGTGAGCGCTCTGTCTGGTAAAATAATTTCAAAATTTTCTTAAACCTGCGCGTGAGTAAGGCTTGAGCTGTAGTCCAAATCATGTTTTATACGGTTTCTTATATATAGGCCAGGAAAAACACGATTTTGCACGACTTATTCGAGGGATAAGCTGATTTTTTATATATAGGTGCTACTTCATGTGTAAAATAAGTCATTAGTTTCCACAGCCATAAAAAGACCAGAAATATTGTTTATGGGCCGCTCAAAAGTTAAATTTTAGCAAAAATTCGTGTTTTTTTGGTTATAACTTTTTATACGTACATAAGCAGCGCATTTATAAATTTTAATTAGATCGAAAGTTATAGACAGAAGAAGCCTATTTGTTCAATAATAAATAAATATATCAATACTAATATCTAACATGTACGTATTGCATCAACATATTTCTTTCGTAACATACTGTCTTGATTCCCTTATAAGTTTCTTAAATGATAAATTTTGTAATTCAACATATTTCTTGCTACTCGCAAAGGATTTATTGGAAATTCGAAACCGGTTAGTTAAACAGCTTACGCGCTATGGCTTAATAAACAAATTATCTATTTGTTAGTTTCGGTGTTCCTGAGTAATCTTCACAGCCCGCAGAATTTTTTTTTTCGGTTCAGCCTTAGTTGTAAAATTAAATAAACGATGTATGTGCGTGATATTGTTATAAATTATGATAAGTCTGGAAAGCTTATAAAAACGGCTTCAATTTGAGAAAACAAACATGTAGATTCGTCAAAAAACAATCAATTTATGAGTCATCATAGTTTATAGTCTATTGTTTAATAAATTAGTTTGGTAACTGAAAAAAAATATATTGTCATTGCCAGTCATCCGACTACTTTTCCAGATGAGATTGTTGGATTTGTGGGAACCTGTTTAATGCATTAAAAAAATTGCGTACAGTCGGTAGAACGTTTGATTTTTCAGCGAAAAACGGCGCGGTAGAAGGGTGAGGTAATTGAACGTCAGCAGGCCAAGCGTCGAAAAAAATTAATATCGCTCTTCAAATTCGATGGCGCAACTACAATTTAACTTTTTTACGGAACTATTAAAGATAAATTGATCATATTTTTAAATTTGACATTACGTGACGAGAGAAATGTATTGTTATGACTTAATATTACAAAAAGTTATGACAAATGTCATTAATTTTACGATAAATGGCAGGTGAAGTTATTGTTGTAGTTTTTATTTATTTTGCAAAAAAACATCTTAAAAATAGGTAGATAAGGAATAATGTTTTATAAATAATGTTTTATGATAAATAATGTTTTATGTTAAATATACATGTTATAATTATATAATAGCTGAAAACACCTCGCTCGGTAGCATTTTCAATGTGTCTCTTTAAAAAATGAGTTGTAGAATATACACGAGAATGGATTTGACTTGATATTAATCAAAATTACATAATGCGATTTACATAATGAAATTATGATATTGTAATAGGGTGGATTAGCTAGTACAAAAGGAATTTATTAAAGCACAAACTCCCACGATGCAGAGCTAACCGCCGCTCCGTTAAACACGTATGATTATACGTGTATTCGCCTTTACGTTTGATACTTTCGTTCAGTTGTCTTCTTTTCAACAGAGTTGCACTCACCTAAGTCGCCTGATTTGTGACACTCGATCTATCTTAGGTGTGAGTGACCTAATGGTTATTCCAACTAATCCCCTAG